TGCACTGTCGGGCGCCCAAGTTGGGCTTTTGAATGTTTAGCCCATTTTTTCGATCGAAAAGACGGAATTTTTACCTCGCTGTGTTCGCTATCCCGATCTTCATCCGATGAACTCATTTATGTTCGTATATCACACCAATAAGAATGATTTGTGAAGAAATCGTCTTGAGAGCAATTTTTTTTAGAGAGAGAGAGAGAGAGAGTTTTTTTGAACGGTAAATAGCAATTTTCAAACGGTAATAAGCAAATCCCATGTATTATCCATGTAGTTATTATTATTTATTGGCCCGAATGGATTTAATGATTTATCTATAATTTTATTTTATTTAATTTTTATTTCGAGGTGCTCAATTACTCAATTAATTGCATTTTTTTTTACTGAAAATCTGATAGAAATATAAGAAATATAATAAAAAAATATTAATGGAAATAAACGGAAAATGAACAATCTAGAAGCAGTTGTGAGACAAGATTCGCATTCAGCCACACCAGCCGAGCAATCATCAACCCCCGAAATGGCGGCGGCGGCTTCCGCCGCGGAAGGCATGGCGGCGGCAGCGCTGCGATCGGTGCTCCAGAGGGTTAACCAGGCCGCCGAGCGGTCCAGCCGTCAGGCTGACCGGATCCGAGTTGTGGCCGTGAGCAAGACGAAGCCGGTTCCCCTCCTCCGGCAAGTCTACGACGCCGGCCACCGCTTCTTCGGCGAGAATTACGTCCAAGAGATCGTCGAGAAAGCTCCTCAGGTATCTGTTTTAGATGAATTTTCTACTTGTATTCCGATCAATTGAAGGGCGTTTTAGGTGTAAATGTTTGTGCAATTAGGGCGAACACAATCACAGGGTTTCGTTTCTGTGTTTAATTGCAGTTGCCGGAAAATATTGAGTGGCATTTCATTGGGAATTTGCAGAGCAATAAAGTGAAGCCACTTCTGAGTATGTTTTGAACCCTTTCCCTCTGTAAATCACATTCATTAATTCAATACTGTTAGGGTACAGATGTCCAACACTAATTTGTTCTTCGTCGAAATCGTAAAACTGACGCTCGAATATGAAATATTCCGTTCTTGCTAAAACAATTTGAATGCGAATGAACGACGATCTATGCGTAAAAAGAATTTATGTTCGAAACAAAAACAAGTACGGAATTACCGATGGAGAATAAGCCTTCTTTTCGTAATTGAAAGTCTGAAGTTATTCTAATGGTCATGTACTGAATTTCACATTCTAATCCATACAATTCCGTTTTTTTTCGTTTTCCGTAGCTGGTGTACCAAATCTTGCCATGGTGGAGACTGTCGATGACGAGAAGGTACTACTGATATCTTTTGCATACCAAATCTTGTAATGTTTAAGCAGATAAGCTGATAAGCGTACACCTATAAGAAGACATTTATTTGTACTTCGACAGGAGGTTGTCTTCTTGAATGGTAGTTATCCTCTAATTGCAGCGACTTTTGAGTGTTTTCTCAATCTGGGGTTTTTTCTCGAAAACATAATTCAGTCCGATCAATCCATCCTCTAGTTGGATGGCATAACTAATAAAAATCAAGAATGCAGTTTCATTGATCGGAAATCAAGTTATAGTTACACTTTCAGATCTGCCAAAACTAAATGATCAAATTCTAGTTTGATATGCTTAATAGTTCCCCTGGAAAGACGTTGCAGTTTATTTTCTTCTGTGATATTTTTTACTGATTTACTGAATGTATTTTTCTTCCTCTGCAGATTGCAAATCATCTTGACCGTGCAATTGGAAACATCGGAAGGAAACCTTTAAAAGTATTGGTCCAAGTAAATACGAGTGGTGAAGAATGTAGGTAACTTGAGTATGTTTTAATTGATGGGATTTTTTATTTATTTATTGATAATAGAATCAATCTATATAATGTTGATATATCATTCAAAAACTCAAAAGTAAGGTAAATCGTTTTTTGCCTTACATTCTGTGCAGCTAAATACGGTGTAGAACCTAGTGGTGTTGTCGAGCTTGCCAAACATGTTCGTACAAACTGTCCTAATCTTGAATTTTGTGGGCTTATGACAATAGGAATGCCAGATTACACTTCTACCCCAGAAAATTTCAAGGTATTATTATAAATTTATAACCACAATTTTTGTCTGGTGATCATTGTAATTCTTGAATATTATATGCAAAAAAGTGTCCTAATTTTTTCGAGTTTTCGAGTTTTCAGACATTGGCAAACTGTAGAACCGAGGTTTGTAAGGCACTTGGAATAGCAGAAGAGCAATGCGAGCTATCAATGGGCATGTCTGGCGATTTTGAGCTCGCCGTGAGTATAGTAATGCTACTCATTCTTTTTCAAAAAGATAACAATTGATGTAAGAATTAACGAACTACTCGTGTCGTTATTGCAGGTTGAGATGGGCAGTACAAATGTTAGGGTTGGATCTACCATATTCGGTGCAAGGGAATATCCAAAGAAATAATCGAATTAGATGTGCAGCTCTGTATTATTATTCAGAAAGCCATCAAATTTGTTTATCTGTGCAGATATTCATAACACAGATGCGCTTGACTTCTGCTGTTTGAGTTCGGACCTAAATTTTTTTCGAAATTTAGGATGTTTAATTAATTTGTTGTTTATGTGGCTGTTGTCGTCTGTTTTTGACCTTTTGTCACGGACTTTTCATGGTTATTGAGATGCTACACCAGGTTATACACATCGGGTGATTTTTAACCATTGATGTGGTTAAACAACCACCCACTAAGCACACACACATGTGAGAGTGTGTGTGTGTTCGTTCGGTTTGGTTTCAATTTTGGTTTCGGGTTTTAAGGGTTTCACCCGATGTGTTCCACCGAGTGTGTTTCAGCGGGTTTGTTTTCGATTTTGGTTTCGGGTTTTCGGGTTTCATTCATCGGGTGTAGCATCAAACAAACCGACTTCTCAAGATGTGGTTATTTACCGCATATTGTTTGTGAAAACTGGAAACTAACTCAAAAAAATAATTGTATTTGAGCCCATCGATAAAATGTTATAAATCATTCAACTCCACTTAATTATAGGCCCAAAAATAGGCACTCTTAATCCCAATTTGTATGACTGTAGTAGTTAACGTTTAACGGGCTTCTCTTAGGCCCAATTAGTATACGGACTTATAAATTATAGGGTAAATTACAAACACCCCCTGAGGTATGGTCAAATTACAAAAACACCCCTTCTGTTTGGATAATTACAACCACTCCCAGCTCCTCAAATTTAGTGGAATCTTCGAGATTATATTTAATATTATCACTTTTGTACCCGTTTTATACCATTCAAACTCTACATTATGAAACAAGATGATCATAATATGTGATTTTTAGCTTGTGTATATCTGTTTGTGGTGCATCGGAAACTGTATTTTTACACAAAACGAATGCAAACTAAAGCACATTCCACGGAATCTAGATGATTATGTTGAATTTGGCACAATAAGGGTGGAGGTGTAAGAAAAAATCATAGTTGAGGGGGGTAGATGTAATTATCCAAACAAGAGGGGGGTTTTTGTAATTTGACCATACCTCAGGGGGGTTTTGTAATTTACCCTAAATTATATTAACAAATTACAATTAGTTAATTTTATTTTAAAATAAAATTTGTATAGTCAACGGAATCGTTGACTTTATTAGTTACCGTCTTTCAATGCAGGCTTACGAAAGTTTACCATGATCCATGAACAAACTCAAGCGCACCTACTTCCACCCTCCGAAGCCACCGCCGCCGCCGCCGGTAACTGCCTCTGCAACCACCACCAAAACACTCAATGCCACAATCGGCCGTCTCTCCGCCCAAGGCTTCCACCGCGATGTCCTCCTCACCTTCACCACCATGCTCAAATCCGCCACCACCACTCCTCCAGACGCCTTCACATACCCATCCGTGCTCAAGGCCTGCACTTCTCTCCGCCTCTTCTCTCTCGGCCTCTCGCTCCACCAACGCATCATCGTTGATGGGCTACCCTCCGATCCCTACATTTCATGCTCGCTGATCAATTTCTACGCAAAATCAAGCAACGTTCACTACGCACAGAAGGTGTTCGATGTAATGCCCGAAAGAAACATTGTCCCATGGACCGCCATTATCAGGTGTTACTCTCACGCCGGGGATATGAAAAACGCATTCTTACTGTACGACTCCATGCAGTACGAAGGTATCCCGCCTAGTTCAGTCACAATTTTGAATCTGCTTTCCGGTGTTTCAGATATTCAGCAAGTCGAAGTTTTGCATGCTTCTGTATTCAAAAGAGGCTTTTTATGTGAGGTATTTCTAATGAATTGTTTGTCGAGTATATACGCCAAGTGTGGAAGAGTAGAAGAAGCTAGGGAGTTGTTTGAGCTCTTGGATGAGAAAGACATTGTTTCTTGGAATAGTTTGATTAATGCCTATTCCACAATCGGAAATCTTGGCGAAGTTCTAAATCTTTTTTTCCGAATGAGAACCAAACATATCGAACCCGATCAACAGACTTTTGGGTCGTTGGTCTCTGCGCTTGCAAGAGAGGGTAGTTTTGAAGTGGGAAGAGTTGCTCATGGGCAAATAGTGACTTCTGGATTCGAATTAGACAAACACGTGGGAACTTCGCTTTTAGTTTTCTATTCAAGATTCAAGAAAGTGGACCATGCATTGCAAATTTTCGAACAGTCAGATGATAAAGACGTAGTCTTTTGGACAGCCTTGATTTCCGGGCTTGTCCAGAACGATGCTTCCGACAAGGCGTTGAGAATGTTCCGGAAAATGTTGGATTCGAGAGTTTTCCCAACTTCGGCAACCATAGCTTGTGTACTTGCAGCTTGTGCACAGCTCGGTTCTTTTAAACTCGGGAAGTCAATACATTCTTACATGTTGAGACAAAAAATGTCTTCGGATATCGCCACACAAAATTCACTTATCACCTTGTACGCGAAATGCGGTCTATTGGAGCAGAGTTTCGCAGTTTTTAGCATGATGGTGAAAAGAGATATTGTCTCGTGGAATGCAATAGTTGCTGCTTACGCACAGAATGCGTATTTAGATAAAGCCGTTTATTTATTCCAAGAAATGAGGACAGCTCAACAAAAACCCGATTCAATAACCGTAGTGTCACTTCTCCAAGCATGTGCTTCACTCGGAGCATACAATCAAGGGAAATGGTTCCATAACTATGCTCTCAGAAACAACCTAGGACCGTGCATACGTATAGAGACAGCCTTGGTCGACATGTACGCTAAATGCGGCGATCTAGAATCTTCTAGAAGGTGCTTCGACGGAATGCCACGTCACGACACGGTTTCTTGGACCGCGATTATCGCGGGGTACGGCAGCCATGGCAGAGGGATGGAAGCTTTGGAGATGTACTCGGAGTTTCTACGAAGTGGGGCCCCACCTAATGATGTCATTTTCTTGGCAATTCTTTACGCGTGCAGTCATAACGGGCTCGTTGAAAAGGGTTTGAGCTTATTTGAGTCAATGGTAAACGAGTACAAAATTGAGGCCAGGATTGAGCACCTTGCGTGTGTGGTTGATCTTCTTTGTCGAGCGGGTAGGGTTCAAGATGCGTACAGATTCTACAAAGAGAAGTTTCTAGAACCTTCCATGGATGTTCTTGGGATTTTGTTGGATGCTTCTAGGAATAGTGGGGAGGAAGAGATTGGGAGGGTCGTTGCTGCGGAACTTTCCGGAAGCGAAATTGGAGATGGTGGGAAGTACGTGCAGTTGGCTCATAGCTTTGCTTCGAGGGCGAAATGGGAAGGTGTGGGAGAAGCTTGGGTACAGATGAGGCATTTGGGGCTTAGGAAGATTCCGGGTTGGAGTTTTATCGAATTGCATGGGACGATTACGCCCTTTTTCACGAGACATAGTTCTCACCCTCAGTATGTGGATATTGTGTTTATGTTGGGGAATTTGAATGAGGAGAGTAAGGAAGTGGTGTTGAATTGGGAAGATGAAGATCTACCCTTGGATTCTAATGTGCTTTGAAAGGTGAGTGAAAATATTATGTGCTTATTTTTGCAATTGAAGATGGAATTTTGGATTTATTTCAATATATTTCGGTTGTAAGATCATTTTTTTTAATAATTTTGCTTGACTATTAAAAAATTAGTGAAACGATTGTAGGTGAAATATTTCTTTACTATTTATAAATTAACATCATATGTGCTAGATATTTAAGTGTTAAAAAATATTTGAATATTTCGGTGATTTTTGGCAAAAAGCGTGTGCTATATAGTATACGATTTTTTGTGATTTTATCTGAGTATTCAAAAATTAGTTAAACAATTTTTAGATGAACTTTTCTTTGCTACTTATGAATTAAAATATTCTATACTATATAATTGTGCGTTAAACAATATTAAAAAAAAAAAAATTGAACATTTCATCATTTTTTAGCAAAAAACGTGTGCTATATAGTATACGATTTTTTGTAATTTTGTCTTGAGTGTTCAAAAATTAGTTAAACAATTTTTAGATGAACTTTTTTTGCTACATATGAATTAAAATATTTTATACTATATAATTGTGCGTTAAAAAATATTAAAACAACATTTGAACATTTCATCATTTTTAGCAAAAAACGTATCCTATATAGTATACGATTTTTCGTAATTTTGTCTGAGTTTTCAAAAATTAGTTACACAATTTTTAGATGAAATTTTCTTTGCTACTTATGAATTAAAATATTCTATACTATATAATTGTGCGTTAGAAGTATTTTTAAAATATATTTGAACATTTCATCATTTTTAACAAAAAGCGTGTGCTATAGTATACTATTCTTTGCAATTTTGTTAGAGTATTCAAAAATTAGTTACACAATTTTGAGATGAACTTTTCTTTGCTACTTATGACGTAAAATATTATATACTATATAATTGTGCGTTAAAAAATATTAAAAAAATATTTGAACATTTCATCGATTTTTAGCAAAGAATGTGTGCTAAAAGTATACAATTTTTCGTAATTTTGTCTGAGTATTCAAAAATTATTGCTCAAAAAAAAAAAGTATTCAAAAATTAGTTACACAATTTTTAGATGAACTTTTCTTTGCTAGTTATGAAATAAAATATTCTATACTATATAATTTTGCGTTGAGAAAATATTAAAAAAATATTTGAACATTTCATCGATTTTTAACAGAAAACGCGTGCTATGTATACGATTTTTTGCAATTTTATCTCAGTATTCAACAATTAGTTACACAATTTTTAGATGAACTTTTATTTGCTACTTATGAATTAAAATATTCTATACTATATAACTGTGCGTTGAAAAACATTAAAAAAATATTTGAACATTTCATCGATTTTTAGCAAAAAACGTGTGCTATAGTATACGATTTTTTGCAATTTTGTCTGAGTATTCAAAAACTAGTTACACAATTTTTAGATGAACTTTTATTTGCTACTTATGAATTAAGATATGCTATACTATATAATTGTGCGTTAACAAATATTAAAAACAATATTTCAACATTTCATTGATTTTTAGCAAAAAAATGTGTGCTATATAGTATACGATTTATTGCAATTTTGTCTTAGTATTCAACAATTAGTTACACAATTTTTAGATGAACTTTTCTTCGCTTGTAGTAAACGATTTTTTGTAATTTTGTCTGAATATTCAAAAATTAGTTAAACAATTTTTCGATGAACTTTTATGTGCCACTTATTAATTAAAATATTCTATACTATATAACTGTGCAGTTAAAAAATATTTTAACATTTCATCATTTTTTAGCAAAAAACGTGTGCTATAGTGTATGATTTTTTGCATATTTTTCTGAGTATTCAAAAATTAGTTACACAATTTTTAGATGAACTTTTCTTCGCTAGTTATGAATTAAAATATTCTATGTTATATAATTGTGCATTAAAAAATATTAAAAAAATATTTGAACATTTCATCGATCTTTAGCAAAAAACGTGTGCTATAGTATACGATTTTTTGTAATTTTTTCTGAGTATATAAAAATTAGTTAAAACAACTTGTAGATGAACTTTTCTTTGCTAGTTATGAATTAAAATATTCTATACTATATAATTGTGCGTTAAAAAATATTTGAACATTTCATCGATTTTTAGCAAAAAAACGTGTGCTATGGTATACGATTTTTTGCATATTTTTCTGAGTATTCAAAAATTAGTTACACAATTTTTAGATGAACTTTTCTTTGCTAATTATGAATTAAAATATTCTATACTATATAATTGTGCGATAAAAAATATTAAAATTATATTTCTTCTAAAAACTGAAGTGTGGCCAGTAGTAATAACTCCACCATATTAACGTAGGAAAACCACATGTTTTCTCCACTCCTTAAACCACAGCTTCCAACGTAAGAAAACATGGGAACTGTGAGTCTAATTTTCAAGACTCTCTCGATCATCGCTGAATTTGCTCGGATCATGTGTATGTCTACGAGAGTGTCGTTTCGTAGGCACTAACACACTCCCATCTAACAATTTTCCGTTATTACACTCACCTTCATATTCATCTTCGTCGTCTTCGTCTTCATTCTTGAAAACGGGATGTATATAAGCGTACTCTAGGTAGCTTTTCACGTTCAAGTTCGGCTCTCTCGAACGTTCTAGAGTATCTTTCATCATCGCCTCCTGAAAAAATAAAATCGCAAAAATTTTAATTAAAAAAAAATATATCAAAATTGTCGAAATTAGAAGATTTTTTAGCATTTTTTTCAAGAACCTGTAGAGGGTATCTGATAAAAGCAGGCTCGTAACGGCCTTTACAGAATCTGTGGAACCAAATGGTCAAAACCGGAAGCGCAATGAGAATCGGAGTCGACTGAGCATTCCCTTTTGTGCTCATTAATCCCATCAATACAAGCTGCGAGAAAACAAGTGCCGATATTATACGCCCGTGTACCCCTGGCCAAAACGCTGCCGCACTTTCGTATTCTTGATTATAAACATTTATAATCTGCATAATAAAAAAATAAAAATAAAAATTGCACCAATCAGTGGCGGAGGCAGCATAGGGCCGACCTATGGGGGGGCATGGCCCCCCACTGGTTCTAAAAGGGATTTGGTATTTTATATAAAGATTTGTGATTTTTTACCTGATGACGAAAAACAACATATGCCAAGGCGAAGAAAACCAATATAAAAGGAAGGAAAATGGGTGTGACGACAGCGTAGACGAGGCCTAGAAGAAAATATAATTGTATTTGAGGCTCGCCCGTGTTGAAACCGATACTTCCCGGATCCATTGCCTCGTCTCTATCCTTTTCGGTCTTTACCAGAAAAAAATTCTTTAGGTGGAAGAAAATTAACGGTTTTAGTCGTAAAATCTCCCCTGCAACACCGGCCCATCCGTCCACCATTACGTATGTAATGAAAAAAGTTGCTTTCATCGGAATCGCAACACCGATTGTCCTCGGGATTCTGCCAAAGAATAAATAAATTTACAAAGTGAAACATTATTGGATGGATCGCGCACTTTAAAAAAAATCATTTTTTTCGGAAGTGGAAAACTATTTCCAATTCTGTTCCAAAAAAAATTGAAAAAGAAATCGGAAATCAGGATTTTGAAAATGGGAATGGAAAAAAAAAAGTTCTAAAATGGGAAATTTTTGGATAGGCGGAATTCGGAAATTTCAATTTTGTGTCGACTATACTACAAAATGCATAATAATATTAGTAGTATAAGTGTCATTTTCGGGAAAAAAGTCGGAGTTTTCAGAATAAAATCGGAACTTTCACAATTCGAAATAAAAAATATTGTTCCAAAAAAAAAAATTCGGATCGGAATTGGCGGAACTCGAAGTTTCGGTTCCGATTGCCACCCCTATATTAAAGGTTGTAACTTACTCATTTGCAGATTGATGAAGAAAGCTATCGAGTTGTTGAAAAGCGGTCCCCGCTATTACACTGACGAGGAAAACATTGAAAAAGTTGAACACATAATATCTCAAAGCAGCCCTTCTCTCGAGAGTCGATTTCGACAAAAACCCCTCGAATCTCGCCATCATCATCAAAATCGTCGGCAGCACTATAAGAAAGATCTTCAAAGCAATCCCGGGTAAGAAACCTTGGATCACAGACTTGATAAATGGTCTGCATGATTTATAATGATAGAATAAGGTTTGCATTTCAAAACATAATAATAAATAGGAAAAAAATAACAGTTTTCGTCCTTCAAGTTTGCATAGATTTCACATTTGGTCCATCATGTTTCAATAATTTAACACTTATAGTCTTTTCCGTAAATTTACCGTTAGTCCATCAGTTCAGGTAGTGATGGACACATGCGTACTAACGGGGAATTGACAAAAGGGATAAAAAATCTTGAATTTTTAAAACATAAGGACTAAATCTGTTTTTTTTTTTTGTGAAAAATGAGGACCAAATGTGGAATTAAGATAAACTTAAGGGACGGAAATTGTAATTTTTCCATGATAAATATTATTATCCATATACATATCTATTATGATGATGAATATAAGGTTATACACTCACACTTCGATTATTGGCTTCAGAAACGGGGCCCATTTTTCGATACCCTCGATATTCGCCAGAGACTGCACTATAGTTACGGGTATCATGAAGAAGAACGTGAGGAAGAAGAAGGCGACCGAAGTTACGAGCCTTCTAACGGCAAGCGAGAAGTAGGGGATCGCGAGGTTGTCCCAGTAGATATCACGGGGCTCCGGGGCCCACTCGGTCAACCACAGAGTCGGGTTTCTAGTTTGCTGCGTCTGCGCGCATACAGCCGCAGCCCACCTAGTTTTGAACGAAACGAATCCAGCTGGCATTATACACTTTGGATCGGTTTTCACCCTTTCTCTCTCTTCCGATATCTGCATTTTAGTACAATGCTTAGATTATATATACATAAAATTATCGGAAAAGAAAATTTTCGAGTTTTTTTTTTGTTTTACTTGTTTTGATAATGTCTCGATTTTGGCCGTTTGATGATCGATTGCGTCAACTTTTTCGCCCCAAAGGCCGAGAAAACCGGTCTGCGGGTTTGAAGAGAAGAAAAACGGTAGGTCACGAATTAGGCGAGTGTTGTACTAAACGGATGAATAACGGTACCTTTTTCACGGGCCGTTGTGATTGATTTCTTGAATATTTTAATTGGTAATAGTCGAGCCAGTTCTGCTGGCTTTTCCTCTCATTTATTAGCTTTGCAAGTTTGTTGGCATTGGTTACAACCTACGAAGAGAATCAAGAAACGGGACATGAATTTCGAACCTATTTTTCTTCGAAATAATGTAATGTAATGAACTTCGAAACCTGATGAGTGAGATAATGATCTGGATGGTTGACCAAGAAAAAGTGCTCCACAGCCTCACTCACTGATTCATGTTGATCTGGTGGCACATTTCTAACAAGAACCTGTAAGAGAGAGAGAGAGAGAGAGAGAGAGAGAGAGAGAGAGAGAGAGAGAGAGAGAGAGAGAAAACAAGAGAGAGAACCAGAGAGAGAGAGAACAAGAGAGAGAACCAGAGAGAGAGAACAAGAGAGAGAACCAGAGAGAGAGAACCAGAGAGAGAGAGAACCAGAGAGAGAGACTTAGATATATCATTCTATAAACGAAAAATTTGAGCAAGAAATTGAATCTTACAGTGAACTGATCGGGGCGGCGCCCTTCGGAAGCAAGAAAGTGCAAGCGCATAGTTGCAACGGTTGCATACTCTTTTCTCAAAGTATAGCAAGTCCAGAAAGTAAAGGCGTACGCCATCACTATATGAGTCCAAAACCTGTTAAATTCGGCTCGAAGAAAAATCAAGAAATGCCTCGACTAATAACAAAACAAGACTCGAAAAAAGAAGTAGGAGACTCGGGAAATTTATAAAGATCGACTGATTAATTTACCTCGGCGATCCAAACGGAACGTTCGAAATAGAAAGCTTGTCTATGTCACTATACTGCAAGTTATGATCGGCTGCTTGAGATTTCGCTAAGGTGTTGTTCGTCCAGTTAACCGGAACTAGTACGGCCCACGAAAGCAATGCCACGGGAACGAAAATCTTGAGTCTGCGTAAATCGAACCTTAAAAAACGAGCATTTTCAATTATAAAATTCAATAATCAGCCAATTACCCGAGCAAGTAAATTCGCAAATAAACGGCCGAATCGAGTCCGGCATGATCGATAAGCTCCGGTTCGGGCATTCTGAGTGCATCCGGCACCCAATTCAAAAACCGAACATACGATCTCCAATCCAAATTTACGAATTTGCCCACGACCGAGCCCGCATTCACGGGACTGCTTCTCAAACCCTTGAGGTACCATTTCGGGAAATACACCCTGTCGTTTATCGGCTGAAGCCGTAAAAAAGCGAATGCAATAAGGAAAGCCACTGCAAACAGAATGTTTAATCCTGCTGCAACTCCTATATCCCCAAATGTAGCCATTTCGATATCGGATAATAACCGAAATTCCCTGCCGAAAATCGGGGTTTTTTACAACATGTCTTAGAAAATTCTGTACATTACACAATTAAATATGAACTTCAATCACAAAATAATTTTCTTAACAAAATCATAAACTTCAATTAAAAAAATAATAAGAAAATACACACCCTCAAATAAAATAAATATTAATCAAATCAAAAAGGCGAAGAACACTTGCACAAACCCTTTCACACAGTTGAAAAATTGAAATTAAACCCACAAAGCAACTCGCATATATATACATACACACATGCGTGTATCTATATAAATGGAGATGCAGTTCTGAGTGAGATTTTGGGCTCTTTTGTAACGTTTATTGGCTTTAATTCGGTGATTATGATCCTTAGGGGGTGTTTGGGAAGCAAATGGGGAGTGTAAATAATTAATTTTAATTTGCAATTAATTTAAAAATAATATACTGCCATTACAGGAGGATCTCTCTGGACTCTGTTGGTTGTCTACAATTGCCACGTGAGTGATTGCATCCGAATGGGATTTAACGGCTACTATTTTCGACAGCGGGGATTTCTTCAAGTTACACCTCACGCGCTCGACTAGTGCGTGGGTTTAATAATTTCAAATACTACCATTTTTATTAGGGATTTTACCTAATTTAAATCAAATAGTGGGAATGTGATTTTTTGTATTTTTTAAATGGTAATTTTGGATTTTTTTTTATGTAGAAATTCGTAAGATCTGACAGGAATTATATTATAAAAAATCCATCAATTGAATACTTTAGTGAGGAAAAACATAATTTAAAGAAGATATTGTTTTATAAGTAATTCGGTGTGTGTTTTTTTTTTTTTTTCGCACTTACGCTCGAAATTAGGACGGAGGTAGAGAAAAAGAAAAAAATAATTTATTATTTTGCACCCTGGAAATTAAAAAAAATGAAATTGGCCTCATTATGTTTAAATATTCAATTCGTGGTGCATTGTAAATGATTTATTGTGTTTCGAGGGTGCAAAATGCCGTTAATTATTTTTAAAGGTGCAAAGTGCCAAACTACTACATTTTAAGGGTGCAAAGTGGGATTAAGCATAAAATGCACCTACCAAAAATGATATGACACGTAATTTGACATATTTGTTTTTTCATTTGTGCTTTTATTTATCTCTATTATATTCCGAATAATTATTGTTTTTTATCTTCTTGTTTTTTCCTAATCATTGAATTAATTTGGGGGTCTCTTATATGATCAAAGTTTATTCCATGTTACACTCGTTAGAATTTCACCGGATTATATAAAATTTAAAAAAAAAAAATCTGTATTTTTTGAGAAATGTTATTACAACTACACAAAAAATAATAATACAATAAAACATGGGACAAACAAAACAAATATACTAAATAATAATTAGCTTAATTAATTATCTGCCTGACATTAAGTGAACTAAACCCTGGTTTTCATAAAAGGAGCCAATATCCCAATCTTCAGTTGAAGATGATAATGTCATTAGTGCCACTACTATCGATCTCATACTCGGCCTCAGTTGCGGATTTTCGTGCGTGCAAGCTTTCGCAAGATGCGCTACCTACATTCGATAATCGAACATTTTAATTTTCTTACAATAATCGAACAATATCTATAAAATTTATTGTTATTCTTTTTACATCTTACGAATTTTATGTTACAGATTTCAGATAATCAATTCAATGTAGTGGTGGGAATAGGAACAGAAACTCCGAATTCCGCCAATTCCGATTTATTTATTTTTTCAATTTTGGAACAATATTTTTCATTCCAAATCCAAAAAGTTCCAATTCCGACGGAATTGGAATACATATTAGATTCCGATTTCTGATCCGGTTTTAATTTTCAAAAATATTTCCGAAAATTTCGATTATTTTCAGAAAGTGCTAATCCAGATTCGATCGGTCCGGTTAGTAACCCTAATTCAATGTAATAAATACCTTAGAGACTGAATCGAAAGGGTAATCTTCACCAAGCCTCGGATCAACTAGCTTTCGTAGACCTTCAGTCTGATCAGGCTGCTTAAAAGCTTCCTCAAACTATTAATTAAATCATCAAAAGTTGTATAAACCAAGCTTTTAATTAATCAAATAATTAGGACAGTCATATTAAGCGCAATAATTAATACCAGAGCAACAAGGCCTTTCGATTCTGCGATGACTTCGTTCGTCTTTACAATTGCATCTTTTGCCGATATCAGTTCGAAAAGAACAACACCAAAAGCATACACATCGACCTTTAGCGAAACTTCTCCATACTGTGCATACCTGTCATATATCCGGGGTCGTTTTCGTAATTTAGACATACATCAGAGATTCTATTCGTAATTTTAGAAGCCTGAAAAACTTACTCGGGAGGCATGTATCCGAAAGTTCCAACGAGACGCGTTTGTAGAGAACCACTCCCCACTTCAGTCAGTTTGGTCAGACCAAAATCAGCAACCTTAATAACATAATTATGTACATATTTAGCAACCAAAATCATTTTTTATTATTATTTTTTTTAAGTTTATAGCAATGATTTTAACAACCTTTGCACGGAAATTCTTGTCGATCAGAATATTTGCAGACTTGATATCGCGATGTATATATACAGGTACGGTATGCTCGTGTATGTATTCGAGTCCTCTAGCCGAGTCGAGGGCGATTTGGACCCTTGTCGACCATGGTAATGGTTCCATTACTAAAAAAAAAATAAAAAAAAAACCATTATATTATAATTCAGCTGAAAGAAAGAAAGAAATTCATTTGTTTTTGAAGTTTTTCGAGTATTGACTTTTTTTACCTTTACCACGCAAGTGTTGACTAAGGTTACCGTTGTCTATGTACTCGTAAACTAGAAACAAGGATCCTTCGACACAGTATCCTATTAAACGCACCTAACAAAAAAAAAGTTCAATATATACAAATATCTGTTAAAAATTAGGATGTTTAAAACCTAATCGAAAAAATCCTGTAATTTGGATTTATAATATATTTTTTTTTAATTTATTACCAAGTTCACATGATGAACATGTGTTAGAACTTTCAGTTCAGCCAAAAACTCCTTTGATGCTTGCATGTCCATCTTTTTCACAGCAGCTTTCTGCATTTAAAGCGAAAAAAATTGAGTAAAAGACGACTTATCGTTAAATTAATAATATTTATTTATTCATCGGATAATTTGAGCACAAACCTCGCCTCGTAGCTCTCCATAAAAAACAGCTCCAAAACCACCTTGTCCGATTTTATTGGAAAGGCTAAAATTGTCCGTAACTGCAGCTAATTCTTCATACGTGAACTCTACCGATTTATCCACAGTAATACCCTTGAGCTTCGGAGAGGGACTAGCAACAAGCGGACCCGATTCCGAAGTTTTTTCCATTAGACCTATATTCATGAAAAAACTATGTTTAATATATACTTATAATTACCGATCTTTTTTAGTGATATAAATTGTTACGAAATTCAAATTGAAAATATTAAGAATTACCATGTGCATTCTCAATGCTTTGGTCATTGTGGAGAAAAGTTCCTCCCGTTTCTTTTTTCCTTCTGCAGAAGACGAAATAGACGCACAATGCCAACAAAATTGCCACAAAAACGGCTGCAATCGATATTCCAGCTATGGCTCCACCAGAGATTCCTATTTTTTTTTTAAATAAAAATAAATAAATAAATAAATACTTTAATTTGATGGTGACATTAAAACATTCTTGAACACGGCGAAGAAAAAGTCGAACCGCTTGAACTGCATAAAGAAAGAAAAAAAAAAAGCACGGTATTAGATACAAATGCGGAAAAAAAAAATCGAAAACCGAGTTGATCATAAGATTTCAAGAAACTAGTTATTACCTCGATTTCAATGGGGGGTAAGTTCCATTTTGATCTGAAAAAAAAATAAATAAAACGTTTATCTCTAATATCGACACACGTATTTCTACGACAGAGACAAAAATTACCAAATATAAATAGAAACCCTAATCCAAAACACAAATTCCTGATATATTGCACTCAATTCAACTTCTTCAAAAAAACTAACACTTCTCTTGCAAGATTTTGTTATTACAAACTTTTACCTCGTACCGGAACAAAAACCAAACCACTCCCACCGCTAAAATCGACACCGGGATTAAATCCTGCATAGCTCTCAGAAAGTCCGAATTCATTTCCGATACTCGATAAACTCTCGCCGATACGAAGAGGATAAGTTAAAAACAACCCATAATCATCCGACACCCTTCGATTCCCACACGAACAATTTACGATCACATTCAAAATCGAGCCCACGGGTACGTTTTCAGGTCGGTAAGTATTAAACCTCGTCAATAAATCGACCGTTGTGAGATTCGAATAATACAGTTCCGCTATAGTTTTGTAAACATTACCAGGTTTGACCTGATAATCAAACCGACGGCCCATGAATTGATTGTTTACGCAGCCGCACGAGAAGGGGATTTTTACTCTGCTGCCGAATTGAATTAGGTCTTGATTCGTGATTTGGGGGTTTTGGGCGACGACGGCGTTGACTGTGGTTGAGAAGACTTTGGATATGAAGGTGAGATTCGATCCTGACCATACGTAGTACGAAGCTAATGAATCGCAACCGTCGGTGCACTGGGATTTGATTTTGGCGCAGAAAATGTTGAGCGTGAGGAAGACGAGGAATATGGAAAAGATTCTTCCTTTTCCTTGCGCCGCCATTATATTTACAGGATTGTTTACAGAAATGGAGATTTATGTTTGTTTTGAGTAAGAATTTGGGTTTGTATAGTTGATTGATCTGGTTCGAACTTCAATTTTGGGGTTTTTGAAAGAATTTTTTTTTGTTCTGGAGGTTGAAGAAGGGTGACGGCAGTTGACGGCGTCAAATTTTCCCGCCAAAGGGAATGGGTCATTTGTTTCGCTAATGACGCGTTAATGACTTAACTTAATTCTAAGCAACCCTGTGAGTAGGAAACATGTGGCATTAGGTGATTGGTGGGGTTTTCTTAATATTTTTTCTTCTGTGATGGAGACAAGAATTAAAGACAAATTAACAAGATGTCATCCCTCTTTAGTTAAACTTAAAACTGAAATGCTAAATTTCATTTCAAATTTACTGATATGTCTAATTGGGCCAACTCAATGGGCCTACAAATTATTTACCTACTGGGCCACGAGCCCAATATCGAAGACCATTATCCAAGGTCCAATCACCTTCAAGTAAGGTTTGGGCCCGATAATCTCAACTTAGCTATAAATAAAGGTTTGAACTCATTCCTTAAGGTACGTCCTATTAACTGAGCAATACTACAATACGTATTCTCTGAACTATTTCTATGATCAGCACGTCTGACTTGAGCGTCGGAGGGGTTTCCGCCAAAATCAACCCCCGGCGTAGTTCACGTGTGTTCATTTCGCAGGTACCTCAGGATCATCAAGTTGTCAAGCTACTGATTTGCTTTGCTCTCCCAGTTCGTTTTCTACACTACCCCAGGTGATCTAAGTAATTAGCATCATCATTTTGGCGCCGTCTCTGACTTTGAACGTGATTTTGAATCTTTTTTAGCATGATTTTGGCAAAATTCAAAACATCGTGTAGTCGTTTATCTTAGTTTTCTAATACAACTTGAATCAGTTAAATTGGATATTGAGTGACAAAATTATGCATGAATGAATTACATTTTGAATTCTAGATAACTGATCAAAACATCAAGGTTGTGGGCAATGTTCAATGATTCATGCATATTTTCGTCATCCGACATCTAATTTTGGTGATTCGAGTTGTATTAGAAAACTAGCTTCAAAAAACTACAACTTCCGTTTTCTGAGTTTTGTCAAATTTAGACTCGAAAACGGGCAAAACAACGTCTGAAGTCTTCAAAACAGCAGAACTTATAAAACTGAAACGACGTTTATCACATCCGTCCGTAAAACCACACGAGAGCATACACGAACTCCAACACTTTTCAAATGGCATAGAATTGATAAATTACATATAAACAATGTAATTAATGACGTCACGCACCTTTAGCAGGCAAGAAAATAATCCCTGATCCAGCACTAAAGTTGGCACCCTGATTAAACCCTAGAATCAACTCAGCTGACAAACCAACCCCCACACTCAAAGACTGCAAGCTCTCCCCAACCCGAACAGGGTACGTCTCAAACAGCCCGTAATCTCGCGACACGTGCCGGTCGCCGCACGAGCAATTCACCGTCACGTTAATCGGTACGAAATCCGGCACCCGGGTCGGGTCGTAAACATTGACCCGTTGGATCCAATAATCCGTCGTGAGGTTAGCGAACGCAAACCTAGCAACATTAGAATACGTATCCCCTCCCTGAGTCACGTACTGAAACGTGTGCCCCAAGAAATCCCCGTTCACGCACTCGCATGAAAACGGGGCGTGGATCCGGGTACCCGTTTGGATGTTATCCGGACTGGAAACGTGCGGGTTGTACCGGAGAATCTCGGGAATATCCCGGCCGAAGATCTGGCTGATGTAGGTCAGATTCGATCCTTCCGAAACGTAGTACGATGCTAGGGCAAGATCGCAGCCTTTTCGACACTTTGCTTCGACTTTAAATCGTGTGAAGAACAGTGCATAGAAGAAAATTGTTAGTGAAATAATGATTTTCATTTTTTTGGAGAGATTAATGAATAGGAAGAATTTTATTTATTTTTGTAGTTGTTAATGATGTAAGAGATTCCATATTAGGAGGGGGGAAAATGCCATATTGTCTTCCTTTTTAATAATTAGCCGTCTTAAATCATTTAATTAATTACATGCTTTTAGACATTATCAATGAAAGCAGACAGATTATATAATAATGTTTACAAATTACAAGAATTGTATTCTAATTATTAATTAATTAATTAATTAAAAGAAACACACACATTGTACTCTACACCACTATATGCAAATATTCAATTCAAGAACCTCAACCAGTTGGAGAATTCTCAGACAGGCTGATATTTTTTTAACAATTATTTGTCGGAGCGTTTTCGTTAACATTTGACCCCTCCTGGAGCTTAGCATTTGGCATCCGAATCAAGAAACAACGATAAATAAACAAACGATATAATGTATAAATAACAGCATTAATTAAAAAAAATACATATACTAATTACAGTTGATGACTGTGTGTATAGACAACATCTTCTAATTCTTCGTTTCTTCTTACAGAGGTTTGTCTTGTCATGGCTGCAAAAACTTGAATTTCTGAGCCCAATATATATAAATATGTGTGTGTGTGTGTGTGTGTGTGTGTGTGTGTGTGTGTGTGTGTGTGTGTGTGTGTGTGTAGACTTGCGTTAAAACGAGAGCGGAGTTATTTTATAACAACAATTTTACCTCAAATGTAAGTTCTGACTTCATCAGAAGCTTGGATTTGGCCTTCACTAAAATATGAATGAGCATTTTCTTCGATATTCTCCACCCTAAAATGTTACATAAGTCATACGCAATAAATTTATATAAAATCGATATAGTCAATTTTCATGGTCGTTAAAAATCGGGAATCTTACTTGTAAATGTAGTTGACCATTATTCCAGCACTTTGCTTTAGGCCTTTTTCGGATCGATCAGCCATCCAATTAATTCGTCCAACCATCTGTAGCACAATTTATGTCCTATATTAATTTACATAAAATTTATACCAATTGAAATGTAATTATAGAGATTTATTGTTTCATAACAAACCGCTCCGTTTTGTAAGTGGAAGTTTCCGACAGAATCGAGAGCCTTTCCTCTCTTCTTCTCTTCAAGAAGGTATCTGTACTCGTAGATTTGTATTTAATTATCCATTTTATTTGATTTTATTCTAAAAGAATTGATGATATTTTCGGTTTACGAAACATACCTCGCGCAGAGCCTCATTAAAGGGGTTTTCAAAACAAGTGACAGCTCGTCCGATTTAGTCCAATCGTGACTGCTTGAGGATAACAAGTTGCACATTACTTCCATTCCGTTTTTCCCGGTGGTATATTTTCTAATATATATTAAAAAAATAAAAATAAAAATCAGAAAATCGTTTCATCTGACAAAAAGTTGCATAGTTGGTAGAGATGAAAATAAGAAAGGTAGTAGATATTATTTGTTGATTTTAGGAAAGGGCAAATTACGGCCACTCCCGAGGTATGCCCAAATTACGAAAAAACCCCTCATGTTTGGATAATTACAACCACCACTTAACTATGTATTGTCTTGCACGTTCACCCTTACGGTATCAAATTTACCTACTGAACGAGGGGTTTTTTCGTAAGACAATACATAGTTGAGGGGGTGGTTGTAATTATCCAAAAATGAGGGATTTTTCGTAAATTGATCTTACCTCAGGGGAGTGACCGTAATTTGCCCAAGAAATAATAACATTATGCAATAACAATAAAAATAAGCTTACTCGGATGCACCCAAGAGTGCCGTTTCTTCTTCTGGTTTCAGCAAGTTTTCTCTGAAAGTGGAATCACATCTCTCGATCGAAGCCAACTTTGCCAATAGCCATTGCATGTAACCTGGTATAGGACTAAGTGTTGCAAATGTCTACACGGGATAATTTTTTTGCAAATTAATAATACTATAAATAATAGTGTAAATTACAACCACACCCCTGAGGTAAGATCTATTAACGAAAAAACCCATCATTTTTTCATAATTACATCCACCTCCCTGCAATGTGTAGATTTCTTACATTAACACCTTTTGTTGGGGGTGGATGTAAGAAATTTACAAACTGCAGGGGGCTGGATATAATTTCTAAAAAATAAGGCGGTTTTTCTGTAATTACACTTTACCGCTGGGAGGTGGTTGCAATTTACCCAGAATAATATTATCAAAAAAAATCCCGAAATTGTACAAACTTACAGAGATTTTCGGCATGTCTCTCCTCACCACATCAATCACACGTTTAATAAGAAATTTTCCCAGGTTGATTCCGGATAAACCAGGCTGCAGATCAGACATCCAGTTTTAGGACAACTCAAAGAACGTAAAATATTTAAGAAACGAGAATACTAAATATTTATCGCGATCCCGTAACTGTAATACCTGAGTGGAAGATATGGAATAGAAGAGTGCACATGTTGCCTCGGATTCAGGCATCGGAGGTTCATCCCAAAGAACTTCCTGTAATAAGAAATAAATAAATAAATAAAAAATGTCGAGAATCAACGACAGCTGGACGGACCGATCATCTTCGAGTATCTGGTTAGAAAATAGTTTCGTTCACCTGTATTGTTTGAGCGACATTCTTCATGAGTGCAACTTCAATAAAAATCAGCGGCTCGCCTGGAATAGCAGGATGTAAGTATCCAAAACAACGTCGTCCGATACCCAGCCTTCGTTTCAAATCTAAAAGATTGCTGATTGGATGCACCGCCTGCAAAAAAATAAGTGACGGGATTTTTTTTTATAGTTTCACATTGTGCAATAGAAAACGACAAACAAGAAACTTACCTCGTACGCAACAATCTTTTCGAGCAATGAAGCTGGATCGTCCCATGTTATGTTGTGAAGCTGAAGATTTGCAGGACTGAGCCATGTAATAAGCTTCTCTTTCAAGTACGAGTCCAATGCCCTTACCGATGCAATATTTTCATCCCTGCAAAAGAAAAGTATACAGTTAGGCCTTGTTTGGTTCCTAAGATAAAGATTAAATAATCCAACACTCAATGGTAATAAATAATCTCCAATTAAATCAGCCAAGATTAGAGCCATTTTTCCATAATTAAGGGCCGACCCAATTGGATTAACCAAACATCGAATAAGGTCCGATTATTTAATTAATTATAGTTAATCTTACGAACCCAAACGAGGCCTTAGAGTACAAAGAAAGAGCGGAAAAAAATGTGAACCGATAAAACGAAATATAATAATTTAGTGAATAACCTTACGCGAGAAAAGATAGTATATCCGCTCTCATGATCGACAAGAATCTCAATCCTCCAGGGTGAGTATTCAAACGTTCAAAAAGAACTTCGTACATTGGCTTGAGTGAATGCCTCAAATTCCGCTCGATCCTATAAAAAGACGAAAACGACCCTTCCCCTTCGTGCGTATTTTCCACAGACTCGTCACCTAAAAGCAATTTATTAATCCAATCCCATTTTCCAAAATAATTATAAATAATCATACTCGTCACCTAAAAGCAATTTATTAATCCAATCCCATTTTCCAAAATAATTATAAATAATCATTAATTTACCGTTTGGAAGATCGAGCCCGAGATATTGTTTCATCAACTCACGAACTTGCTTCCGGTTGAGATCGTATTGTGTAGCAAGTGTCAGAAGTAATACCCGACGGTTTTCATTGGAAAGACCAAAATACCCCTGCATTTTTAGTGCGCGATAATTACTAAAAATACTTTAAAACAAATCACTGGCATGTGTAGACATTTCGGAAAAAACTTGCCTCGGAGAAATCATCTAGTGCAGCGTCTAGAATCTCTATTTTGTTCATCGAAATAGCGTTGTGCATTGACTCTTTTACTCTTACAAAGTCTCTGAAGAAAACCATTTACATAGGTTAAAATATTCGACCACATCCAGATATCTCGGTAACCAAGCAACGGCTAAATCCTACAAAAAGTCGATCGGTCCATGCTCGAAGAATTTTCATTTTTAGCCCATATTCATTTCTTATTACACTAAATCCTATTTGCTTTCGGAAAATCGACTTCAAAATAATCATAATTTAGCCTTTTCACATAAAAACACAGAATATTTGAATCCTGATCGCCACTGATTCAACAATTTTCCACAGAGCTTATTGCATACGGCACCCCTGTATTTTTTCTAATTCCTAAAAACCCCCCCTAACTTATTTTTATCGGCAAAACCCCCCCTTATAATGCATACTTTTTTTTAGCATAAAACCCCTTAAATTATTCACTACTTAGCCTTTCAGAAAAGAAATTAACTGCTGATCACTACTTAAATCAAGCGATGATTTAAACTCATTTCTCGCAATTAGTGAGATTTAATTAGAAACACAAACACTAATTAATAATTATATAAAAAAACATACACGTGGAAACTGGTAGATGCATCTCGGGAAGAAGACGAAGAAGCTTTGTTGTCGGCATCCAATGGCGGAAATTGCATTTGATTCATTTTGTTCTGAATCAGTAATTGAATCAAACTGAATGATTAAACATTGGAAATTAAATTGAAAATCAATCGGAGTTGCTTTAAATTCAGGTCAAAGGAATAAAACTCACGGCGGCGGTGGTGGTGGTGGTGGTGGGGGAAGGTGGGTGCATCCTGGTCCGCATCAAAATTGACAGCGCCTTCTTCTTGTTCATATTTATGGTCGTACGAGATTTTTTTTTTAAAATTAATTTATTTTTATTTATTTTATTATTTATTTATTACGATTGTGCTGAATAAATACTCGAGCACGAGGCGGCTTTCGAGTAAAGTCAATTCCACCATACATGTACAGTGAGTTCGGTGCGGTTCCAACAGTTACACAATGGTTTGATGTTATTAAACGGCACCGTTTTGTTTGACGGAAATGGCCCGGCCCGTTCATTTTAATGTAAGCCCACATAGTAAGAAGCCCAATGAAATTGGATTTTGGAAAGTCAAAGGTCCAAATATTGTTTTAGCTACATCAGCCCTAAAAGGGGATCACTATTTCAAATACTAATTTTTGCTCACTTGAATACCAAAAAAATAAAAAATAAATAATTAATTGTAAATTACTTTAATGCCCTTAATGAAAATTAAAACCAAAAAAATATTACAAATACTATTTTCCTTTCTTAAATACCAAATAATCAAAAACCTAAAAAAAACATTTCCCTCCTCACTCACAAACCCCTCACCTCCTCCACCTCCTTCTTCTCCCTCCCCAAAAACCCTCCTAAAAAACCCCAAAACAAAAGAAATCAAAACCTTACACAACTTGCAAAATGGCGTCAAATGACAATAGAATGGTAGTTTACGAGCAAGGAGAACCCATTCAGGTATGTATTCATGTATTTTTTGAGCTAAAACATCGATTTTGAAATTTTTTTTTTTTTAAAACTCGCCATGTATTTTCGACACATACAGGTCGAAAATACCCTTATTTTTCGACGTGTATGTGTCGAAAATACCCCTAATTTTCGACGCCTAAGTGTCGAATTAATGATACAATTTTCGACACTTAAGTGTCGAAAATTACCCAAATTTTCGACACTAAGGTGTCGAAAATTGTATCAAAATTCGACATTTAGGCGTCGAAAATTATCTCTATTTTCGACACTTAAGTGTCGAAAATGTGGGTAATTTTCGACACTTAAGTGTCGATTTGGTTCATGTTGCAAATTTACTTGTCTTATATTTTCGACACTTTTGTGTAGATCGATTGCACCCATTCATTTACCACGTCAGAAAAATTCCCAACAAAAGAAGCTTTATTGGCATGGGTTCGTGAAGTATGTAAAAGAATTGGAATGGTGTTAATGATTGGGGGTTCGAGTGACGGGGATAGAGGACGTAGGACACCGTATGTGATTGTTCGTTGTGAGCGTGGGGGCCATTATGTTGGCAAGAAGGTACCAGGTGAAGATGATCAAAGACCGGGAAAAAGGAGCACCGGTTCAAAGAAATACAATTGTCCGTTTAAATTGAAGGGGACAAGAGAACACAAGGATGATGAAAAGGTTGAGTGGAAATTGGATGTTCATAGTGGTATTCACAACCACAACTTATTCGAAAACTTGCACGGACACTCTTATGCTGGAAGATTATCAAATGAGGATGTTTCCTTTGTTCACACTATGAAGAAAGCAATGGTGAAACCAAGGGCAATTCTAAGAGCATTGAAGCAAAAGGACCCGTCTAATGTAACTGGTATGAAGACAGTTTACAATACTATCTCTAAGTTAAATTTCAGTGAATTGGATGGGAGATCTCAATTGCAATCATTGTTCGTCAAGTTGAAAGAAGATGAATACCTCTCGTACCATAGATCGAACGAGTTGAATGCGATTACCGACTTGTTTTGGATCCACCCGAAATGCATTAAGTTGGCACAGTCGTATCCGTACGTATTCGTCATCGATTGCACGTACAAGACCAATCGTTACGGACTCCCATTTCTTGAGATTGTGGGTTTTACTTGTACCAACAAGACGTTCTCAATTGCCTTTGCATACTTGGACCACGAAAAGACGGAAAATTTTGAATGGGCGTTGCGTTGTTTGAAGGAGGCCATGACCAGTTGTCCTCGGCCTAATTGCATTGTAACAGATCGAGATTTGGGTTTAATGAAAGCAGTGGCCAATGTGTATCCATCGAGTCATCACTTGCTGTGTCGGTGGCATGTGAACAAGAATATAGTGGCCAATTGTAAGAAATTGTTCCCAAAGGACATCACCAAATGGAAGCAATTTCAGTCGAGTTTTTCGGCTCTCTTATTGAAAGAAATACCATAGAGGAGTTCAATGAGGATTGGGAGGATTTGAATAGAACATTTATCGGTAATCTCCCGGCTATAGAATATGTAGCTAATTCATGGTTGGATCCGTACAAGGAGAGACTTGTATCGGTGTGGACAAATAAGTATACTCATTTTGGAACGTACACTTCTAATAGGGTGGAGGGGGCACACGGACGAATGAAAAGGGATGTGCGTAATTCAACTGGCACATTTGTAGATTTGTATACGAAAGTCCACAATCAAATTGTCGAACAACACAATGACATCAAGGCTTCCTTTGAAGTAAGTAAAAATACTTACGAGCACACTTTCAAAACGTTGATATACAATGAGCTTCGTGGAAGTATCTCAAAATACGCTCTGCAACTACTCAAAGTTGAGGTGGACAATGCGAAACTATTGCAACCGAGCGATATGGGTTGTAGTTGCGCCATCCGAACAACCCACAGTCTACCATGTCGCCATGAACTTCATGAGTATGTTGTTGTGAACAAATGTCCTATCCCACTTGAGTTAATAGGCTCGTATTGGAAACACATGAGTATGGAGCCCGTCGCGACCACAGACCAAGTCATCCTACCAACCATCGACGAAGAATTATCGGAATACCAGAAGCTCTTTGAATGTGCCGATCTCGATGCAAAAACTCGATTGCGCAACCATTTGAGACATTTTACCCACCCAGAGAAGACTAACCTTACGGAGCCAAGTGAAAAAGTTGTTAGCAAAGGTCGACCGGCAAAAAATAGGAAAGACAAATCAAGCACTCGGGACAAATCACATTTTGAGTATGTGGAGCCAAAGAAAAAAAAATCGAAGCAAGCTAGTTGTTCTCCAAAGGTAAATGTCGCTACTATCGTCTCATTTCATTGAAGTTGTATTTTATAATTGTGCTGAGTAATGAAGTGTAATATACTGCAGCTTATACCTGTACTGATGAGATTACGAGGGCACTCGAATGATTCTTTTAACACTATACCAACTGAAGAGTCAGGAAAAAGCACTATACCGACGCAAGAGTCGTTCAAACCATTATTTGAAGATGCAGATGTGGGATTGCCACCAGGTTTGATCGGCAAGAATAAGTACATTGACACGATCCATCCACGATTTCGTATGCACGTTCGAGAAATCATCAATGTCGGTTCAGATGGACACTGTGGATTTCGGGCAGTTGCCTCTATGATGGGATTTGGAGAAGATGAATGGGGTCGAGTGCGAGATGACATGCTACGGGCTTCATGGGGTCGAGGTCGATCCGCCTGGGGTCGAGGTGGATGGGCTCCATGCCTACTCAGTTGTAACATGCATCTGGGTCGGAACCAATTCATGGACGACCGGCGAAGTGTCCGCCTCCCCGAGTTCAACTTCAACGGACCTCGACTCCTCGTCCAGACAATACTCCTCCCACCGATCAGAGAATCGTTCGCCGTACGCAACGAAAATCGAGTTCTGGACCGGTCGACCTTTGCTAACTAGAGCTTTGTACATATCTTTTGACATGTATGCACGACCTGGAATGATTTGCACCCGGTTGAACTGCCTCAACACTCTGTCCGGATGATATGCCTCGAAGTGGTCCATGCAACATATCATCCCACTAAACCAAGCAGAATCTGGCATCGGGAAACGATCACGAATAGCCGTATACGGTGACCATACGACCTAGTAAAATAAATAAAAAATTAGATTTAAAAACCTACTTAAGTAGTAATAACAAATTATTAAACTGATATTTTACCTGATCGGGGATCAAATCATCTAATCGAGATCGCAGGTACGACGCTCGTTCAGGCGTTGAAGTAGTCTTTGACTGAGGCTCCCATCGGCTCGCTAATGGCCCCTCGAATTCCGTCTTCAATGTGCCACCCGCCAAATAAGGAAAGTGCTCGTAAATCCATGACTGAAAGAGCGTCAGCCAGCCAGCCATCGAGTTCGTTGATTTTTGTGAGGCTGAGGAAAGCTCATCGTACAACCGGCAAAGACATGCAGTGCCCCAAGCATACTCGCCGATCCGATCCAAATCAGATACAAGATTTAGATACTCCACGCTTACCATGTTGCCTGTCTTGTCGCACAGTATAGTACACCCGAGCAAAAATAACAAATACGCCCGAATGGCGTATGTCCTCTTCTCCGCACTATCTCTCATGGTCACTTTGCTAAATTTAGCCTTCAACCATTCCAACTTCACCGCTTTCTTCTTGTTTACATCGTCCGGGTACTCACCTAGCAACTCGAACATCAAACTACTGAGCTTCGTTTTGGAATCACGGATCAAACGCTCGCAAGATACGGTACGCCCAACAACTGGCAAACCGACCAACGTACTCACATCGTCAAGTGTGATGGTCATCTCTCCGACAGGTAAGTGAAATGTGTTGGTAGCTGGCTGCCATCTCTCTATGAAGGCTCTAAGTAGATGGCCGTCCACAGTGTTGTACGATGCTTGTACAACTGACATTAATCCACATCTTTGTACTACCTCTGTAATAAACGGCGCCGGCTCCCAACCTTTCAAAGTTCCTGTGTGATTTCGAATTCGAAATTCTGAGCCGCGCTCCGAGCGATTTGGCCCTCCGTTCACAATATGATAAGCAATGTGCTTATCAAATTTTGTGTACAATTCCGGTATCTCGGGACCTCGGACCGGTTCGTTGCTCGAATCACCAACTTCTACAGTCGAAGGTAGAGCCGGCACCGGATTCGTTGACGAAGAACTCTCTCCAGACTTCTTCTTGGTCGTGGTCTTTTTCTTGGTCGTGACTGCTAT